GCTGGCATGCTCTCTACCACTTTTGCTTGTAAACCAGTTCCCCTCCATGGCAGGTTTTAATGTTGTGGTTTCTGTTTTACAGGGAGTAAGTTGTGATAAATAGTCACACATCCAATACTTGGGGAACCTGTATATGAAAACCAAATTACCAACTTCCTTCTGCTCTTCCCTGGAACCCCTCAATCTAATCATCTTTTGTCCATTTCACAGACAGAAAAAATAATTTGCAGACAAGAGCTTTGGCTTTAGCATGATATGGATGGCACTTGTTCTGGCTAGTTTTTCCTGATTGTTTAGGTACCAGGTGTAAGTATTTACAGAGAGCTGCTGTGTCCAGAAGACACAAACTCATAGATAAACAGAGAAGAGCACAGGCCATGCATCTTTTTAGAGTGGTAAGAAACAGGCTTCCTAGAAGATGAAGTTTGAAGAATGCTTCAAGAGCAAAGGATAAGAGTGACTCACCCAGAAGATGCAGCACCTACAAAGACAAAAAGGTAGTGTCCACCTCCTGGATCAGTCAGCAATTGGATCCATCCTAAATGGGAAACAGTAGGAAGCTAAGATCAGCAAATAAGACTAGAACTTCTAGCCAGGTCTTTTCCTGGGTTCAAAGACAGGGTGCAATTGAGTAAATAAATGAACATCAAAGAGCCATGGCTGAGAATGATAAATGGTTCTGGAGACGATGGTAGGCTCAGTGTCCTGACACTGAAGAAACACAGAACAATCCTTGGCATGTGAGTAGTCAGCAAAACAAATCCTGACATAGTTCTCTGTTTCACAGTGGATGCCTGATGCAGAGGACCATGTTACTTTAAAGTGCTTAAGGTACCACAGCACAATCTAGAAGTGTTGTACTCATACTCTGACTTTTCACCACATAGATTTATGATTTTTTTTTTCTTTCTGAGGAGGAGCAATGGTTTCAGCCTAGAGCTTCCGGTTCCTAGGAGATCTATGTCAAACTTCACTCTTAGATCCACTAAGATCTGTTACCCTCAAAACTTTTCCAAAGCATACATAGACCTAAGCTAGCCACTTGTGTACAACACTTTGGGACACTGGATGGGGGACCCAAAGGGGCTGGGTTTATCTTGAGTTTAATGACTGTGGATCTTTGTGCAATTCATGTCTCATCACAGCCTTGCTTTTACCTTCTGTGAAATGTGAATTCAAAGCTTCAGGATGGAGTTCCAGGGTTCCCATCCAGTGTGTTATTGGGTCTCACTCTGCTTCACAGGGTGCATAGTACAACCAATCAGACTGTAGATGATACTTTCCTAATCCCTGAGAAACATAAAATCTGACTGTGTGCTTAAGTACCCTCCCCTCCATATCAGGTTCTACCACTTTCTTCCTCTCACAAGAATGCCCCAGTCCCTGCCTGATTCTCTAACAGATTTCAGATGTGTGTGTGTGGAGCACTTTTACAATTACAGCCAAGACAAGCAGAAAGCTCATGGCCCCATGACTTTTGACCCAGACCTGTGAGGTTGATACCTTCCTTTTTCTCTCCTATTCCCTGCCCCACCACTCTGACACACACACATCAAACAGAGTGGCTCAAGACCTCCTCTGTTTGGTACTTTTGCTGACATGTTTAGTTACTGTGATAGCAAAAGCCAAAACTACACTTTAAGGACCAAAGATTAAGCCATGATTATTATCAGGACATCTCATTCCCTCTTGATCCTCAATCTGTGTCACCATATTGTACAAGTGAAAAAGCTGAGAGTCAGTGATGGTGATACAGCTTCTTAAGGAATTCTCTGCATACAAATGGAAAATGCAAGGTTTCTATCCACCTTTCACTCTTTAGGATGGATTGGGGGTGGGATGGTGTAGAGCTCAGAGGTGGAGCACTGGCCTATCGTATGTAAAACCTGGGTTCAATTACCAGCACTGCAAAAAAGCCAAAACAACCCTATGGCTACATCTTCCCCAGCACGGAATTGTTGATGCTGCTTGAAAGAGCAGAGAAAACAGAAGCATCATCAAAACATAAATGGACAATGAGAAAGAAGCCATAAACATCTTCTAAATCCTTCTGCCTTGAGGCTTCTAGTGTATTACACACACTCACTACAATTTTCTATTTGTTGTTCAGTTGCAATATATCCGCTATTCATGTTCAAATAAAATACTTTTCAAAAACATGTGTTCTTGCACACATCAGTATTGTATGCATGGTCTTTATGAAAAGTCTGCAACTGCAAGCCATTCTTCATGCCTCATTCCTTGTAACCCTGGAGATACCATATGCTGTAACATTTTCTCCATTCTGTTGATGGGGAAACTGCAAGGGAGGAATGAGATGCAGTTTCTTTCAAGTTCACTGATTTATATAAACATTGAGTGACTTGTGCTGTGTTAAATGATGCAAACAGCAATGCTGAACTGGGCACTTGCTGCACCTACTGGCTACTTTTGGAGTCCTACCTTCAGCGGCTTCTAGATGAATTGCAGTACAGATGGAGAATACTTACCGGGTGCTTTCCAATACAGCTCCTTCCTTTTGACTTTGCAAGTTGCCTAGTCTTACTTTCCAGAGTTTCTTTCTTCTTTTCTTTTTCCTCATTTTGTGAAGAAGGTTATCTTTTGTTGTTGTTTTTTGAGGGAGGGGGTTGTCTATTTTTTTTTTGACATAGGGTCTTGCTATGCATCTATGCATCCAAGGATAGCCTCAGTATCACAATCCAGGTTGCCTCCAGAGTATTATAATTATGCTTGTATGTCAGCATATCTAGTTTCAGAGTTTCTTCTTCATCTCTTCCTTGCCCCTCCACATGGTTTTCCAGAGAACACTTAACTTTTGTATCTATCAACACTGAACCTGAGTGACAAGTGAGTCCACCTGTCACTGACACTTGGTACACAGAGCTGAAGTAAACTCAAAGATATAAAGCAACCTGCCCAAAGACACAGCACAAGGGATAGAGCTGGAATAAAAATATGTCTGGTCATCTCTAAACTAGGCTCCTTTCCCTACTATCACCTTCTTCCATTGTACTGAGAAGTTCCTATTCACTGACCCTGATACAAATGACCTTGAGACTTGAGGTCATGGAGTGTCAAAGCTGGGAGGGCCTAGGTAGATGACCAAGTCCAGACTGGTTCAGCCAGTGAATGTTGAAACTGGAGGGGAGTAGAGTAATTCAGCGCAAGAAGGTTTAGACTACCACAGACTTGCACTTTGACTCTCAAAACCTGTGACTCTGGACATGTTGCTTATTATTTTACCTTAGTTCTCCTCTCTTAACACAAGGAAATTATAAAGATGATTATTTTAGAACAGTTTCATAAGATTAGAAAAATCCCTGAGGTGGCACAGCCTCAGCATAGCTGGAGTTCCACAAGTGTAGCTAGTTGGAATTTTATCTGTACATGGTTGATATCTGCAGATCTGGGTCCAGAAGACAGTAATTGGCAACAATTTCATCCATGGGCTTTAGAGTCAAACAAATTTAGGTTTAAATTGTTAGTCCTGGTAGTCACTGTGTGATTATGGGTATCTGAGTATCAAGTATACCGTAAAGAGGGGAATCGTACACCTCCTTTAGAATTGAATGGTGAGTTAAACTATTTAGCTCAGTGCTTGAGGCATATTAAGGTCTTAGTAAATGATAATAAATTTGTGCAAGGAATGTGTATTTGTTAAGTGCTTAATATACACAGTCAATCTGGATTGACTGTTCTAAAGCTTCATAGCCATGTCACTAAGTCCATTTTATAACACAAGCTCAACTGGGGTGCTGAGTAAGCAAGAATGGAAACTGGAGAAGAAGCATTCAGGCTTTTCTACTTAATGAAGGGAACCCTCTATCCACTTGACATATCTGCCTATCCTCCTGATAGAGAAGGGTGGCATGACAAAGTGTGGCCTCTTACATACATGGCCCTTCTATTCTTGCTATGCCTGGCCTCTATGCCTTACCTTCTCTGGAAAGTATTTTCTTCTCCTTCCTTAGACTTTGTGCAAGCTACAGTATCCAGAGACCTGGAGAAAGTATGGGCCATAGGACCTCCTTGAGGTTCTCAGGTTCTTCTCTCAAAGGAACTCTCTTCTCTGAATCCACCAGCTTTGATAGGATCAGTTCTCTTTAGCTAAGCCCACAGGCTGAGTTGAATGCCACCTTGAGAGCATAGAGCTTCAGATGACAAAATGAGAAAGTCGGGTCATGCCATGTAGCTAGAATAATTTCCAAATTTCTTGTCATAGATTCCAATATCCATCCCTCGCAGTTGACTTTGTCTTGGCCATACGAGCTGACCATTCCTCCATCTGGTCTTTCCCTCCTCCGGGCCTTTGCATTTATATGTATTCCCCTGATGTTCCACCCATGCATTGCTTCTTCCTCGTTGTTCAAGTTAGCTAAAGTTTTAGTTGCTTAGAAAAGCATCCAAGGACTATGCTCTCCTCAAGGCTCATGCAGCCCACACTCCCACTTGTTCTTTTCCATGGGATCCTGCAGTATTTTTTTTTTAATCACATTTGCCAATGTTTGGTTGATTTGTTGTGGATTTTGTTGTTTTAGCTTTTGATTAATATTATGCTTGATCTCTTGTTCAATAAATGAGTTTCCAAAATAATTCCTAGGACACAGTGCTCAGTAATTTGAAAATGAATGAATTAATGAAAATGTAAATGAGCATATTCATCTAGCAGTCTATCATTGAGGCTCACTTTTCACACCCTAGACTCAGACTGCTTGGATCCAGACCTCTATTCTGCCTTCAGTAACAATGAATCCAAGAAAAGACAGACTTTCTTAGGTTCAGCATCCTCATTGTGAAAGGTGGTTCATGGTATGTCTCTGTCTTTCAGGTTTGCCTAACTGTAAATTAAGAGACTCAATGCCCAGAGGGAATTTAGCACTTCATATATGCTTTATAATTTTATAATTATTGTTATTTTAAAAACCATTTTTCAGCATCTTAGGCATCCCTGAGTTTTTGGAACATTCCTTCTGGCCATGGCTTTTTTCTTTTCCTTTCAGCTCCCAGACCCTCTGGGAAGTCTCACTCTGGTGTTGTCTTGCTGTGCTGCAGGTTCACTCTGTATGCTGTGGATACTCGAGGGAGGCACTCAGAGCTCAGCACAGTGACCCTAAGGACAGCTTGTCCACTGGTGGACGACAACAAAGCAGAAGGTAGGTGATTCGTCTCTGCATTTGCCAGGGAAGTTCCACGACTTTCCTCTCTAAGTTCTTTATCCCTAAGTCACTAGCCACCAGAGAGAGAGAGAGAGAGGCCTGGTAAGGAGTGAAAGAACTAAAGGAGCTGGAATAACATAGAATTAAATTAGTCATAATAATGGAGGAACAGATTAACATGGACTACCAATATCTTTGCTGGTGGTCAGACTTGCTCAACCATTGGCAAGGAATGGTGAGGATAAGGGCCTATATTCTAGTCTTAGGAGCTTACCAGTTTCTTTCACTTGACGCAGAGCTGGCAAGTCAGTGACACCTTTGAAGACTGTTTAATCTTTTTACATTTCTACTGACATTATTTTGTCATAGCACACTGTCACATTCAACACAGTAGGAGGTAGCTTGTGAACCTTCTTCAATGCTGGACAACCATTGATGCCTGTAGTCAGACTTAACATGCAAAATTAAACTTGTTTTTGTTTTGTTTTTAGCCTCTCCTGATGTATGAAGTGAAAACATTAAATAAGAACATCCAAAACTGATACAGTAGTCAATCAAACTGACCATATACTTAGACAACATATAGATACAGTTTCTATATCTAGATTGGCAAACTATGGTGGTAGCTACAGGTCCTAGGCTTTACATTATGCAGATATTTCCCTGAAGACCTGGTCCAATGAATGTAGTAGAGGTGAGTCTGTACCCTTTGTAAGGTCTCATTGTTGATGGAGAGACACACACTTTTATTGACTTAGCAAAGAGCTTAGTAATAATGTTTTATTTGCTAATAGACCAGAGGAGTCAATGAGCTCTTGAGCCACAAGAAAAAGGGATTTGTGATGTTTCCTAGATAGTTCCAATATTATTTTAAAACAACAGATACACTGTTGAAAAATTGGAGTAGGAAATAGTACAAATTAGGTGCTTTTCTCATTCTAACTCCATGTGCCTTAGATTCTCCTGAGGTCAACTCATGCTAATAATGAGCCAGAGACACAAATTTTGATCAGAGCTGAAGGAACGTGCCATCTATTCATGATACATTTAAATCACATTGGTTAGTGGAATTTGGATGAGTAGAAATGACCCTGAATGACAAGATGCAGTGTCTGGACTTTGTTTACAAGAATATTGAACAGAGACCTATCAGACCTGACTGCAGAAACACATTGGGAACACTTCAGATGTGAGACGGAAGATAGACATTGTGAGAAGGCAAGAATTTATTTAAGCCTTAACATTTCTTTGGAGGTTCTGTCAAATCCTTAGCACAGAGCTATCGCCTTTAATTAACCTTGCCTTTGAGTGTTAACTTTCTGCCAGGCCCTGCATTGAGCACTTTGCAGTGATTTTCTAACTTAGTTCTTCCAGACAACCCTTGGAGGAAACATCCTTATCTTTAGGTACACATAGGGAAACTGAACTCAACTAGTCCTTGACATATTTCAGATAGGATGGAGGTTCTACTGTCCCCAAGGACCACTCAAGTGAACCCCCAACCAGCTATGCCTGCTTTTTGTGAAACATGTGTATCACCCCTTTTTCCTCTACTGTGAATAATGTGCTTTTTGCTTCTCCCCCCTCAGAGATAGCAGACAAGATCTACAATCTATACAATGGTTACACCAGTGGCAAGGAACAGCAGACTGCTTACAACACACTGATGGAGGTCTCTGCCTCTATGCTCTTCCGAGTCCAGCACCACTACAACTCTCACTATGAAAAGTTTGGTGACTTTGTGTGGAGGAGTGAGGATGAGCTAGGACCCAGGTATGGATTCAGGAGTGTGAATGAAAGACCGAATGCTTTTTGCCTCTCATTATTTTCCTGGGCCTCTGTTACCTACACTGACAATATGCTGTGTCAAATAAAGCAAGGTGGGTGGTGATGAATGCAGTCATGTCAGGATAAAAGGGTGGAAAGCAGGAAGAGATGGCTTCTTACTGGAAATGTGTTGGATTAGAATAACAGTGTGTCTTCTTGTAGAGGGAAAACCAGAGTTATCTGCCCTTAGCAGAAAAGTTACCCTAATCACTAATAAAATAACTCAAGATACTAGAACAACAAAAAATGGAACAAAAGAAGCATATTGTTCAGTTCTAGAAGAACAAGAAACTGCCCTGTGAAAATATTTTCAAAAGAAGTGTCAAGGACAGAAGAGGAAGTTGAGTGAGTTGGGAGGTAGAAAGAATCTAGGAAGAGTTGGAGAGAAGAAAGAATTTGATCAAAATACATCTCGTATAAAAAAATAGTTTTAAAAAAAAAGGCACAGCATCCTTCAACCAAGATTTTTTTAAGCATTTTGAGGGAGGGAAGAGAATGAAGGAGAAAATCTAACCACTTTTCCAAACGTGACTCACTGCTGTTTAACATGAGGTCTGGAATCTTCTTAAGTACCAGTTCAAATCCTTTCCCCTGCCCCACAGGAATTCTTTCTAAACATGGGGTGGGCACTCTGTTGGGAGGCACTAAAGGATTTCTGAGCATGTGGGGCAAAAGGCTCAACAGCAGGAGAGGAGAGATCAGCAGGGCCCAAATCTTGAATGCCCTTGAAGTAGGGTCCAGGAGTTCAGATTATCTCCTTGGGGTAAGGGGCAGCCTTTCAAGTGTTCTTCACAGGGGTGTGAGGACAGTATTAGCAGATCTCACAAGGAGAAGAATCCCTCTGGCTGCAGCTGGAAGCAAGGAGCACAGGAGCTAAGGCCACCAGCAGCCTGGGAGGCTTTCTACAGGCTGCTGAGGTAGTGGCCCCAGGGTGCCCATGCAGTATTCTCAGTCAGGCGTCAGGTAGCTGTGGAGAGAAATGTGCAACTTTCTGAAATACTTAGTGGGCAGCAGTCCATGCTTTGAAAATGTCCCCCGCAGTCTAATTGTTCCCATGTTTCAGTGATCCAGAAGTGGAAATCCCATGGGGTTTAAGTGAACTTCCTAGAGTTACATAGAGTTAGTTAAACATGGTGGCTAAAGCTGCCTGGAACTCTCATGCTGAGATGAATTTGAAGCCGTTCGGGAATGCTATGAGATTTGATGAATACTTGTTCAAAGGAGAAAAAAGAGATCTCTCCCTGCAGTGGGTCTTATCTGTTCTGTTGGGTCCTCGACTGCAACTTCCTTCCTTTCACATGAAAGAAAGTTTCTTTAGATAAAAGCTAAAGGAAGGTTGGTCGGCAGCAGTCAAGTCTTCAGTGAAAACCATGTGAGTCACCTCTGTGCCATCTTACCCATGGACACAGAAAGGCACTCAGCTTTATCGGGCTTTCCCACAGAACTCAGAGATTTTGGGTAGAAACAAAACCAGAGCCCACTCTTCTCTTTATAACCTGCTAACATCCTTTATTACCCTCCAAGACATAAATTTTCCAGGAAGGCCTTCTAGCCACCCATAGAGTCAAGTCATATTTACTTGGTAATGGACAGTGATAATTAACCTTTGGACACCTGGTCCCCAGCCACTGTCCGCTAGCCCTACACATGTCTCCCAGCTTCCTCCTTCACTGTTCTCTTTAGACCCCTTTTGAGAATGTTCTAGTGACACACACTGGCATGTCAGCAAGAATCAAATGGGATTGGCTGCCTTGTTCTGTCCAGCTAGTTTATAAGATGATTAGGGTAAACAAATACAGCAGCATTCTCCTTCTCTCTCTCTCTCTCTCTCTCTCTCTCTCTCTCTCTCTCTCTATCTCTCTCTCTCTCTCTCTCTCTCTCTCTCACACACACACACACACACACACACAATCAGTGGAATTATTTTCCTAAATAAATGTTCTGCAGAACCCCAGGCCTTAACTAGAATGACACTCCCTCAGACAGTTTATTAAAAATCCCATACCTTTATTGTATGCCAACCTTGTGTTTTAATTCTCTATGTTGCATTCATAATATCTTATTGGCTTCTGTGTTTGCTAATGTATCACCTCTCCTCCCTACTACAAAGCAAGGTATGCATATTTAGTGATCTTTTATGCCTTATTCACTTTCGAAAGTAGTTGCTAAGTTATTATTTACTGGTTAATTAGGTAGTGGAATGAGTCTGAGTATGTGTGCAGATGACTATGCCTATGCCTTCTGATCCAGCCCACCTTCTGAATGTCTTCTGTGTCCACACCCATTAATCCCCAAGTGTCCTTTAATTCTCCTCTCTGTGCCCTCGAGGATGCATAGATTCCATTTGCAAATAAGGGCATCCAGAATTCTAAGGTCAAAAGAATGAAGCAACCTTCCAGACATTAAGGGACTTGACTTCATTAACTGATTTACAGATACATTTTATGTAATAACTTATCAGGCCCTTTTCTGAGGGCTGGAAATGAGTGACTAAAGCTGCTCAGACTGTGTACATAGCTTAGCACATATAGAAGAAAATACTGTCAACAGGCAATTACAGTGGAACACTGCCGCAAGAAGCATGCTATGAGGGAGAATGAAAGGATGCGTATAGCAGAGTGTCTAAAATGTTAACGTGTATCGTGTTAAGATTCCTGTCCACTCAGTAAGCTAGGAGGAACCTCAGAGTTTGCTTTTTGAGCACACTGTCAGATGAGGCCAGTGTTGCTTGTCTAAAAACTACCCAATAGTGACAAGATCTCAGGTGTTGGTAGATACAGCAGCGAATGCAGACCCAAAACCCTAAGGAGAATCCCTACCAAGGAAAGAGAAGCTAATGGTTAAAACCAAAGAACAAACAGCCTGCCAGGTGCAAGGGGGATGGGGTGTTTTCATCAGGAAAAACCCAGTGCTAAACTGAGAGCGGTGGTGAGGTAAGAGAATACATGCTGTAGTCAGGAACTATAAATATCATGGAAACACAGAGTGCAAGGTGAGAGGGAAAAGGGGAAAAAAGTGAAAAATCCAAGGCTGGAGAGTTTAACTGGGGTCAGATCTTGATGGCTGTTGTGAAGTCCTACTCAGAAGTTTGTTCTTTACCCCAGAAGTTATGTAAAGGCTTTTAAAAGAGTAATTTGAATAAATTTGTTCTGCCTCTCCAGGGTTACCAAGTGTGCAGAACCAACATGTAAAGGTTAGGGGGCAAGACACTTGTCTTGGACAGGAGTCCAGGGTTCATGTCCTAGCTTTGCCACCTATTTACTGGAAGACTTGGGAATCAATTCTACCTCCATTCTGGACCTCATTTGTAATGCTAAAGAGCTTAACTCTAAAGTCTCTTCCAGCTGGTGAGCCAAGAACAAGAAAGCCCTGAAGGTCACAGGAACCAGCAAATGAAGACAACATGAATATCATTTCACCTCTAGCCTGACATCCTGTTTCTGGGGACCCAGGATGACTGGGGAGAAAAGAGCTTTTCCCAAGAGTTGACACAAGATGAACCCTGTTAGAATTTTCTTGGCCTATATAATTCCCAACCCCAAGTGTTTTCAACTCTTTCCTCAGTTTGGGTTTGCATACCCCCATAAAATTTAGTGACAAAAGGGCATCTCTTACCTTGGCCTAATAAATCTATCAGGCTAGTTTTCCCTAGAGCCTGGTTCTCATGACAACTATAGGTTACTGCAAACAGCTGCTCAAAGAAGACCCGCTGACACCCAGCTGTCCCACCATAAGGTTCCTATTAGGAGACTTGAAAAGCTGAGCTCATAGGTGGCCAGGGACCAGAATTTTCTCTGCTCAGAGCATCCTTGACCACTCTTGAGCTTCGCTGTACTTTCAGTTATGTTTGGTCAAATGAAAGGGTAATGAGAGGAGAGAAAACACTTGAAAAGATCTGAGTTCAGAGAAATTGGTCTGTATGAGCTAGAAGTGATGTATTTATTTCACCAGCCATGTTTAATTCTATGGAAGACATTGCTAGGTCAGAGAACTAGCACAGGCTTGGTTCAACCTGAGGTTTTTCTCAACCTTAAAAGACAAACGTACTGGCCTCATCTGAGAAGAGCTGACACAACCATCACTGTACCCTTAGTGAGAGTAAATGAACCTAGAAACACAGTGTAGAATCTTCCAGGATCATATTGACTCAATAAATTAACTCTTTGCCAATTCTCATGGGCCAAGTCTAGTAGTACATCCTTGTAATGCCAGCACCCAGGAGGCTGATACAAGGGGATTTCAAGTTGGAATCTGTCATGGGCAACAAACCACAAAGTATTGTGGTTTAAATTAGAAGTGATCTCTGTGGCTTATGCATTTGAACACTTGGTCCCTAGCTGGCAGTGTTGTAAACAGGCTCTGGAACACTTCAGAGGTACAACCCTGCTGGAAGGAGTAGTTGCTGGAAGCAGCAGACTTTGAAGGTTAATAGCCTCTTCCCTGCTTCTTACTCACTCTCTCTTCTTCCTGTGTGTGATAGAGATAAGATCTCGTAGCTTCCTGCTCCTACTACCATGCTTTCCCACCATTATGGACTCCAAATCTCTGGAGTTGTAAGCCAAAATAAATGGTTCCTTGACTTGATTTTTAAGATGGTAACTTTATCACAGCAATAGAAAATAACTGATATACACAGAAAGGCCCCATGTTGAAGAAAAAGAAATGAAGAAAACAGATCCCATACTTTCTTAAGAGGAAACACAGAGGAGAACCAGACATTGTAAACATTTCCACTAATGATTAGCATGTTAAGATGTATCTCTACTAAAAATGCTTGTGTTCTTCTGGGACAAGAAGTTGAGGCTAAATTTTGATGGAGGTTTACTTTAAAAGTATTCCTTATGAACTATTAAGAAGCCGTGAAAGCATTTCACCACACAAGTTCAATATATATTAGTACATTCATGTTATTCAAGTAGAAATATTGTTATTTCATTCCAACATAA